CTCTCTCTCTCTCTCTCTCTCTCTCTCTCTCTCTCTCTCTCTCTCTCTCACACACACACACACACACACACACACACACACACACACACAGTGTTTTGATCATACCCACTCCTTCCCCTCCAATACCTTGCAGACTTGAATCACTATATCTCACTCCCAACTTCATATACTTTTAAAATATTTACTAGTTTTTAAAGATACTACTTTTAGCACAGACTGACTCAAAACTCCTTATGTACCCTAAACTGGCCTTGAACTCACAGCTATCTTGCTTCTCAATCACTAGGATTATATCGTAAACCACCATATCTCCACAGTTGAGGTCCTTTTCCAAAATAGCAAAAGACATCTAAAAATAACAGTAAATAAAGTCCTCTGCCAAACCTGTAGTGGACTCTGCTGGCCGATTCCTGCTTCCAATATTTTACGTTTGTCAGCTTACATAGAACACAGGAGTCCTTATCCCTAACATCCCTCTTCTCTAAACAAGCAGAACAGATGTCCTTACTCGTAATCACATGACATCTAGCAGACAAGTGTGTCCTTTAACAGAAGAGAAGGACTTGAAAAGATTCAAAATAATTGTAAGATTTCCCAGTGACACTGCTCCGTGTTCTCAGAATTTCCTTCATAGAGGAAGTTTGCATACCTCGATTTGGGGTCTGTTTGGATGCTAGAGGTTGTTTCCTGGCTCTCTTTGTACTCATCTTCACTGCGGTGAACATGATAACTGCAGCAGTTAAGTCGGACTCAGGTAAGCAACAGGCTATCTGGTGAAAGCCTGCAGTCCTTTGGGTGAATAGAGAATCAAGAGCTAGGAGCCAGCAGGCCATGGGTCCAGAGCAGGTATTGTGAAGAGGATGTAGAACCTGGGGAGTCAGTGACTAAGGAGGTTTAAATGGGATGATGTAAGGTGATTCTGCAGTAAAGATGAACTCGCCAGTGTCCACTATCAGTTACAGAACCTGCCTTCATACTGGAAACCTTGAGAATTGTAACCCTGGTGTTCTCATTAGGGCAGACCTTTCTGGAAGTCAAAAGTCTTTGGAATATAGCTTTCTGCACTTTTGTCTGCCCTGTTCTGTGAGCCTAACTAGGAGTTCGTTCTTGTTACTTCTTCCACAAAGCCATAGCTTTGCTTTTTTTTTTTTCCTCTTTACTTCCTCCTCCTTTACCAGGGTCACTTGTCCCTTTAGGGTGAAATTAGCATACCTGTTGTCTTGACTGGCCAGCAAGTTCTCACTTTTCAAGCCATCAGGAAGCTTGAAGATAATATGGTCTGAATTCACAGTGAACTTCTCAACATCGAAGTTGGTGTTGACCAGGCTGCCCTGGTCATAGGTTGGTAATTTTTTTCCTCATCAGTGAAGCTTCATAATACAGTGACAAATGTCACAAGAGCCTCCCCTTCCCACACTACCCCTTTATTTTCAGTATACTCTGCTCAGGTCTATCTTTGAGAAATTGACAGATGTTGGCAGTTTTTCGTACTCTGGAAGTTCTTTCTTTCCAATGCCATTACAGTAGTCATGGGTGCCTGCCTTCTGCTGGAATGGTGTGGCCTCTCTGGATGTCTCTGCTACACCAACAAACCTCCTCCTCCCCCAGTGGGGGCAGGGAGCGGTGGCAACAGAGCCTAGGCACAAAGCAGAAACAAGACCTTGCACATCCATCTGTAGGATGTTATCTTTTACCTCAGCAGACGCCCAGCTGATGTGGGGCTGCCCCAGCTCAGGTTTTCTTTATAGACAAAAAAAGTGACTTTTGTTTATTTAACTGCTATTGAAAGCATCAAGGAGATAAAGGAACATATATATGTGTTAACGTAATCCTTAATTAGAAAATAATTGATAGCCATTCCCTTTTGTAAATGTTAATTTTAAAATCTAAAATCATCTTGTTCTGGACCCTGTCCTGTTAGAAGGAAGAGCATACTCTGAAGTCACTAATAGGGTCAGGGTGGGGTTTTATATTGTGTTCTGAATCTGTGCTCTGTTTCTTTAGGTTCCTGATTGTCCACGATGGGTGAACCACAGCAAGTGAGCGCGCTTCCCCCACCTCCAATGCAGTACATCAAGGAATATACAGATGAAAATATTCAAGAAGGCTTAGCTCCCAAGCCTCCCCCTCCAATTAAAGACAGTTACATGATGTTTGGCAACCAGTTCCAATGTGATGATCTTATCATTCGCCCTTTGGAAAGTCAGGGCATTGAACGGCTTCATCCTATGCAATTTGATCACAAGAAAGAACTGAGAAAACTCAATATGTCTATACTGATTAATTTCTTGGACCTTTTAGATATCTTAATAAGGAGCCCTGGGAGTATAAAACGAGAAGAGAAGCTAGAAGATCTTAAGCTGCTTTTCGTACATGTGCATCATCTTATAAACGAATATCGACCCCACCAAGCAAGAGAGACCTTGAGAGTCATGATGGAGGTCCAGAAACGTCAACGTCTTGAAACAGCCGAGAGATTTCAGAAACACCTGGAACGAGTAATTGAAATGATTCAAAATTGCTTGGCTTCTTTGCCTGATGATTTGCCCCATTCGGAAGCAGGGATGAGAGTTAAAACTGAGCCAATGGACACCGATGATAACAGCAATTGTACTGGACAAAATGAACAACAAAGAGAAAACTCAGGTCACAGGAGGGACCAGATTATAGAAAAAGATGCTGCCTTATGTGTCCTAGTTGATGAAATGAATGAAAGACCGTGAAGAGTATTTCTTTTTTTTCTTTTAGTGAGTAGCATCATATATTAGTTTATTTTCTCTTGGGCTGTCTTAAGAGGTATAACTAAAAATATAAATGACTTTTTTCAATTGAAATGCTGTACGTGGCAATTTAACAGTAAGTATATAGGCAAGAAAGTATATTTGAGTAATGACCATAAAAAAGCAGAATGCTTGCTATTGTATATGATAGTCTTATTTTTGGAGTTGGAATAAAGATTTGAAGTAATATTGAACTGTTATTCTTGGGGAAAAAGTTATTTGCTTTAAGACTAATAAAGGCTATCAAATTAAACTGTACATGTGAAATTATAAAATGTTTAGACTTATTCCAAAACAATACAGGAACTTGATTTTCCTGACGACTGTTCCTGCAAACTCAGTATCACAGCTCTTTTCCTCCTTATCTTCCATAGAATATTTGTTAGGGGCTCTCCCTCCCCCAAGTCAGGTAATCAGTCTTTGGTGACTAAGTTTATTCGTTCATTTTAGCCCTTAAGATATCTATGTGCTAACTATATGTTTCTTTTGTTTTTAACTCCGCACCCCCATCTGTCTTTGTGACTGAGTGCAGTACCTGTAGAGGCTAAAGGGGTGTTGGCTTCTCGAGCTGGAGTGAAGGTGCTTGTAAACCATTTCTGTAGGTGCTGAGAAGCAAACTGGTCCTGTACAAGAGCAGTACATACTCTCTTTGAACCACTTAGCCAACTGTCCAGCCCCTACATTACTCCTTTAGAGATGATTTCAGCTGAGAAACTGCTAAATGTTTACCAAATAGTCTTGTTTTCTTTTGAGATATGTTGCTGAGATGTAGCTGGCCAGCCATGTACTACATTTCCCCACACAGTGCCATGCAGCTTTGTGAGGCCATGTGCCTATGTTCTACTTAAGATGGCAAAAGTTAAGTTTGAGTCCTTGCTTTGAATGACAGTGAGGGGTAGGTCTTTCATCAGCTCTATTTCTTAGCTAATTTGATTTTATGTGAACAAGAGAATTCTTGGGAGAACTGATTTTTTATTTTTGCACTCTCTTCTAACTCTGCCCTCTTGAAACAGAGATAGCTTTGTTATCAAAGGCTGCCTGCCTGTTATCTCTTAATGTAGGCTAGTGATTTTCAAAATTTAATTGGATCTGTAACATAACTTCTCTTGGGGACCTATTAGAAATTCGAAGTTTCTCATGCCATACCTGAACCAAAAACTCTTGAAATGTCATGAACAAGATGTGATTCTGAATTAACCTCAAAATTAAAACCCACCCATAGATATAATACATTTGGTTTTCCAGGTAACCACTTAAAATTTCTCTCTCAGCCTCTGGTTTGAACAAAAATATTCTGTCAAGGTTGTATTAGCCCTGGAGCTGGCAGAGCTCAATTTAAAATGGTTATGGCCCAAATGCTATGAGAAATGTACATTTTTTGCCTTCACAAATGAATATAGGCTTTCCTCAAGTAGATATTGAGCAGCTGTTCTCATTCTCAACTTTTTTTTTTTTTTTTTCTGGTATGTGTTTGGTAAGATTGTATCTTAGTCACTTAGCCATTGTAGCACCCTAGAAGGGTCTTGCTTCCAACATAGCCTTGGAAGCTTGGAACACCTTGCCCACATTATCTTTTGCAAACACATATAATATGTTTGTAGCATTGTTCTGATGACAAAGTTATCCACAACTCAACCCATTTTCACTCATTAAGAGGAAGAAGTAGAGGTTCAGAGAGCTTGACTTAACCAGCATCATATAACTAATAAGTGACAAAATCAAGATCAGGTTAGAAAATAGCATGCCGGGTGGTAGTGGCACACTCACTGTCTTGGGTTTATTATTGCTATGAAGAGACACCATGACCAGGCAACTCATAAATGAAAACATTCAACTGGGGTGGTTCACTTACAGTTCAGAGGTTCAGTCCATTATAGTGGGACATGGCATGCAGGCAGACATGGTGCTGGAGAAGTTAGCTGAGAGGCCTACATCTTGCAAGCAACAGGAGTGATCTGAGACACTGGGCAGTATCCTGAGCTTAGGAAACCTCAGTGCCCCCCTGCAGTGACACACTTCATCCAACAAGGCCATATCCACTCCAACAAAGCCACACCTAATAGTGCCACTCCCTATGAGATTGTGGGGGCCAATTAACATTCAAATTACCACATGCTCACCTTTAATCCCATCACTCAGGAGGCAGAGGCAGGGGGATCTCTGAGTTTGAGGCCAGCCTGGTCTACAAAGCAAGTACCAGGGCAGCCAGGGCTATTACAAAGAGAAACCTTGTCTTGGAAAACAACAAAAAAAGAAGCAGGTATTCTGTTTTATAGTCAAAGCTCTGAACTTCATTCTTAGCCCTCTAATCTGTCGTAATGTTAAATCATGTATGTCAATAGAGCTATTCCAGTTTTTAAACCTGGAATCCATGCTTGGAAATACCACATGACTAGACTAAAGAGGAAACATTTGTAAATTCAAAGAATAGCTTCTTTTGATCATATAAGACATGATGTGTTGGTTAAGACATCTGTATCTTGAGAAGATGTTGGTGTTTGTATTTAAAAACCCTTCTTGGTAGATAGTGTTCTTGTTTTTTATGGTTTTTCGAGACAGGGTTTTTCTGTGTAGCTTTTTTGTCTTTCCTGGAACTCACTTTGTAGACCAGGCTGACCTCGAACTCACAGAGATCCGCCTGGCTCTGTCTCCCGAGTGCTGGGATTAAAGGTGTGTGCCACCAAAGCCTGGTGATAGTGTTCTTTCTTTCTTTCTTTTTTTTTTTCCTCGAGTTTTTTCGAGACAGGGTTTTTCTGTGTAGCTTTTTTGTCTTTCCTGGAACTCACTTGGTAACCCAGGCTGGCCTCGAACTCACAGAGATCCGCCTGGCTCTGCCTCCCGAGTGCTGGGATTAAAGGCGTGCGCCACCACCGCCCTGCCGATAGTGTTCTTACTTAAGACTCATGAAAATTGAAGCTTAAAGTTTATGGTTTGCTTGGGTTGGAATCTATGTGGGGTAAGAAATTGGCAAAGTGGTTTTGTACTGTTCTTTTTACTGCTTCCTTGTTTTCTCCATGTGGTGGCAAACTTTTACTGTAAATCCAGTTTCTAAGCATTGAGGACCATACAATTTCTGTTTCATATACTTGGGTGCTGTAGCTTGACAGCAGTCAGACAACAGCTAAATGGAAGCACTATGTTCAAATCCAACTTTTATATATGAACAGTAGGAATAAAATACAGATAGTAAAATTTGAATTTCATTTATTCAAGCATTTTATGAAGAATTTTGAGTTTTTGAACCACTTAAACATAAAAGTCTACACTGAGGTGGGGAGGGGGATTTAAAATCAGATAGTAGATTCGATTTGGCTGGTGGGCCACGGGCCTTATTTTAAATTCCAAAGTGTTATCACAGAGATACTAATGTAGGGGCAGTAGGATGACTCAGTTCATAAAGGTGCTTGCACAGAATTATTGTAGAGGGAGAGAATGGGCTCCGAAAGTTGTCCTCTGACTTCTACATACATCACACACACTGATAATAGTAATAAATATACTACAGAAATAAGACTGTCAAAAAGAAAAAAAAAAAAAGTCAGGTGGTAGTGGTAGATCCCAGCTCTCAGGGGCAGGCAAATCTCTGAGATCAAGGCCAGCCTGATCTACGGAGCAAGTTCCAGGCCAGCTAAGGCTACACGGAGAAACCCTGTCTTGGAAAACAACAACCAAAAAAAAAAAAAAAAGACAATCTTTAAAGCTACAGTGTAATATACAGTAGTACTTAGAAAGCTCTGGATGTCAGCTAATATCCTTCCCACACTCGCTTTTTAAAAGTTTTACTTTGTTTATTTTTTTGGTGTTTTGAGACAGGGTCTTCCTGGCTAGCCTGGAACACACAGTAGACAAGACTGGCCTCAAACTTTCAGTGATTCTGCTGCTTCAGCCTCCTGAGTGTTTGCCTTCCAGGCAGATGTCACCACACTCGGCTTCTGTTTATATTTTTCATTTGCGAGTGCTTGGATATATTTATGGGGGAGAGTATACTTCCATGCAAGTATAATTTCTCTATTGTTTGTTTTCTTCAAACTACTAACATTTATCATTAAAGATTTAAGAACTGGCTTCAGACTGTAATGTGATGATTCTACCAATAAGTGGCAGTCTTACTTAAGTGTAAGGCTGTAGTCAGTTGCAGTGAGGGCCAAAATGAAACCTAGAGGCATAGCTTATGAACTGCTCACTTATTCAGAACTGAATTCGGTCTTGACATATCTGGTTGATATCTGTTGAATCAGGATGACTCTTGAAACACACCCATCATGCAACTGGGAGTAATGGCTAACACCTGAGACCTCAGATTATGGAGGGTGAAGTGGGTAAGGGTGCATTTCCAGACTAAGGTGGCCTGTCTTGCAAGACATTATCTCAAAAAACAAAGTATAGCACAGAAAAACAACTTTGAGTTTTAGAATTTGGGCCCTACTACTTCTCAGCTGTGTGTCATTGATTTGTTTTATTAGTGTCCTTGGAAGCTCATTTTCATTAACCCATGTAATCACAGTAGTTATCCTAGAGTACAATGCCAACAGTGAAAGACAACACTCACCCTAATTTCTTTTGAAATCCATTTGACCGCAAGCAGTATACCCAGGCTTCAGGAAAACTAGACCTGTGTGCAGAGCATTTGATCTGAAAGGGCTTGTGGGTACTCCAGAGGCTAGGTGGGGCTTGTGCATGGGGCCTGAAGGCAATATTTTTGGGGGTGGGCAACAAAAAAATAGAAGGAAATCACAAATAATAGAAACAAAAGAGGGGACATTATTATAGATATAATTAGTAATAACAAAAGATAGACAACTTTATTCTAATGCATTTGAAAATTTAGGGAAAGTGGGCAGATTCTTAGGAAATTATCAGTACTGATAGGAAACCCCAAAAGTTCTCTAAGGATTAAGAAAAATGAACCAGAAGTGAAGATCTTAGAATACTTCAAGTTCAGATAGCTTCTGTGCCAAATGACCTGATAAACATTGCCGGTATAAACAGACCCCAAAACGTGCTTGTGTACACATACATAAAGAATAAAACAGTTTTAATTTTTTTCTAGGCTGTCAAGAGGGTAGGAAAGCAAAACATTTCCCAATTCTTACAAAGCTAGTATAAGTAAAATATTAAACTGAAACCAGTAATACGTTTTTTTAAAAAAGAATTTTTATAGCCAATTTTCCCTTACCTAAACAATGTGGAATAGAGAATTAATGTAACCTGCCAAATAATGGATTTAGGAAGAAAAACCACTTATCACAATAGATGTG